TCCACTGTATCATCTAGCTGCCCCCTCAATAAGCAGGGTAAGCCTAGTCTAGGACTCAATTATTCTCATCTTTTCTTTACATTACAGTTCTTTAATGTTGAGGTCCTAAGATGCTTTGATATCCAACTACTCAAAATGGATGGAATAGTAGTAATATCAGATCAATAATTCTTTAAAAGAATGGCAGGAATTAATTTGTCATAGGTGTCACAGTGGATAGAGCATTGGTCCTGGAGTCAGGAAGACTCATCTTCCTGAGTTCAAATCCAGCCTCAGACACTTACTAGCTGTGTGCCCCTGGGCAAGTTACTTTACCCTGTTTGCCTCACTTTCCTCCTCTATAAAATGAGCTGGATAAAGAAATGGAAAACCACTCTAGTATCTTTGCGAGAAAACCCCAAATGGGGTCACAAACAGTCAGACACGACTGAATAACAACAACAATATTTTTTATGCTCTGGTATCTACCTAAAATCTGGCATCTCCACAACTTAACAAACAGTACCACTAGTAAATGGTTCAAAAATCTTTTCCACTTGTGTATATTTACCACTGTATCATAAATGACATTTAGATCCCTAATTTGTCTTTATTTCTCTATTAGGGAATCCTCTGGGAATGAAGCTCCTTTATGTGAAGTCAGCTGTGTTATTATTATTTTTTTAATCCGCACAAAACATTCTAAGCAGAGTTGTCTGCATTTGTACCTTCAGGACAAAATTACCTCTGTACCCAGGCTTGTGCAATAGAGATAGCACTGACCTGGAGTCAAGAAACTAGGTCCAGGCCCTATCCTATATATGCCAGTCTTTGACCCTATTCCCTATTGATCTTTTAGCCTCTCCCGGTTATATTAAAATATATATAGAGAGAGAGGGACTTGGTAACCAATCAGTTACACTTGGTGGTGTGACTGATGCACTTTGATAATACATTCTCACTTACATGCTTCAACCAGCCCTTGTCTGTCGCTGATACTCAAGGACAAGTGATTTCCTTAGTGGCAGAGCTCTCTCCCCTGATGCAGATGGCCAACTACTTATAACTTATATTTTTAGGGAATCAGAGGATTGACTTGTCCATAACAACATAGCAAGTATGTGAAGGAGACAGGATTTTAATTCAGATATTCTTGATTCTAAATGAATGACTGAGCCAAGTTATTGGAATGTATAAAATGAGATGGTTGTACTGGACAGCTTCTGAGATTTTTTTGTTTTCACATCTTGTCTCTGCCACTTCCCATGTGACCTTGAGAAAGTCACTAATCTTCTTTGGGCGTCAGTTTCCTCAGCTGTAAAATGAGAGGGTTGCACTAAATGACTTTTGAGGCATGGTATACTAGCGATGGAGGTCTTTAATTATCTAGGCATATACTGGAGCTCTCTGCCCCACAGGAGAATACCCAACAACTTCTTTGCTTACTAATAATTTCATCCTTCAAAACCACCCTTCCCTGAATTCTATTATGCATCCAATTCTAACTAACAAGGTGGGCAATAGGGTATTGTGGTAGGAAAGATGGTAACCTTGAGTTACCATCCTAGTGTTTGGGATAGAGGAGAGTATATTATAATTCCTTAGATTTTGAGAAAGTAGATTTCAAAGGGTGATTAAAATAATGTTGGAAATACTAAAGCTTACAAAGAGGCAAGGCTGACAATAAGACCAATATCTATCGGGTTCTCCCCTGCTCCCCTCCCCTACATGAGTTAAGTTATATTTCCCCTAAAAGTCAACAAATCTGGGACTTGATTGGGAGGGGAGGGGGCACTCTACCCTCCCCCCAAGAAGCTTTCTGGTAGCCTCTGGCTGTGTTGTTGCTTACTGGTAATGTAGGGTATTAATGGTTGCATACTGTTACAATAGATGTCCCAAGATCTTGAGAGTCACCAAACCCTTCCCTGACCAGATGCTTTTCCATATGGAAATGGAGAGAGGAGGGCACTTCTGGCCAAGTGAAGTGCTATTACCCTTCTTTCACCAACTGTTCCATGACCTTTACAACTGCCTTATTTCATCCCAACATCAAATCTGAACTAACAGGGTGCTGACATCAGGGCCACGCTTAACATTTGGTATGGTCGATAATCAGGATGAGATGGCCTCATGACTCATATCTATGTTGTGTTGGGGGAAAAGCACCGCAAAGAAGAAGGTTAGGTGATTGGATAGCTGGATACAGCCCTGTGCACCCTATGGCAAATGCCTTTCTGCTGGTAGATAGGAAGTCTTCTCCATGACACAGGCTTCTGCTCACATAGACTGATAAACTCTTTGGGTGCCAGAGGAAACTGCCAGGGCCTTAAAAAAAAAAAAAAACCCAAACGTTGACATGTGCATATGCAGACACACACACACACAAGTTAAGCACTCTCTGGTTAGTGTTGACCATCTTGCAGAAGCTGGACTACCAGCATAATCTGACGGGAAGGTAATTGGCCCAGCTCATTCAGTAACTGGACATAAACCCCTCAGCTCTGAAGCACTGTGCAATGAAGACCAAGGGGCATTTAATAGATCTAGAGACCACACAAGTGGAGGGAGCTCTGCTGATGGAGGTGGGTACCAACAGCTCACAGCCAGGAGATGGAAGTATATATAACATACTTTTCACTTTTCCTCTGAATTCCCCTGGACCAGAGTGATAATATAGGAGAATAAAAGTAAATCAAGGAAGAGACTTGGGAACTCACTAGCGGTTTAAAAAAACAAAGAAGCCTCACACATTATTATTCTGGGGAGAAGGGCGATTTCCTCCTCTGAGGGAGGAAGGAGTGGGCAGGCCACTGCCAAGGCACTGGTGAGGTTGTAAGAAAAGTTCAAAGAGCAATCTGATGAATCACTGGAAAATTGCTCTTGAGAGCATGGTCTAATGGAGCCAGGGCTAAGACACTCGGCAGAGAGCTTTAGAGACTTAGGGAGCTTTCGGAGATATTACTATTACTGATTCAATAAATCATTTAGAGACTCCAGATGGGGACTGCCCTTTGACTGTATTCAGGTGGCTGAGATGAGGAGTTATTCATATCTGGCCCCAGAAAGATGAATTCACATTTTAACTGGTTCCATGATAGGGACCTCCTGGAGAAGGGGTAAAGTTCCTGAAGAAATGGACTTGATAGGTTGGATCAATGTGGGGCCACCACACACATACACCTGCTACGCCCTATGACCAGCATGCTTCGTGGGCAATTAGATCCCACCTTCTGGGCAGAGCACTACCCAAAGGACTTCAGACATCCGCTATAGGTCTCACCTGCCACATAACTATACAAATGGGCTGTTTAACTGGTGAAATTTGAGCAGGATTTCAGAACAGCTGTGGCTTGGGCAATACTGCTGTCAGTGCAAATAGGCGTTCAGGGAATGAGGGTAGGGGAAGGAATCACAGAGCTCATACCCTGCTAAGTGGGCAGAATGTGAGGACATTTTGTGTATGTGGCTCCTGAAACACAGGTTTGGTAAGAAAGCAGTTGACACCAAGTCTATGGAGGTGATAATGAGACCCTACAGGGAAATTCAGCAACAGAGATGGTTAGGCTCCTTCAGTCCCACGTATATCTAAAGTATCCTCTAAAATCTCTGCTCCATTTAAACCACTCAGAGAAGGCTACAGAATGGAAGGGCTATTGTGGGCTCTAGGTGCTTCCTTTCAGCAACCTCTATATAGAGGTTATCATGGGCAGGGCCAAAGAGTTGCCTAAATCATCCCATGGAATTAATGATAAACAATACTGAGTCACCAGGGTTGGGAGTGGGAGGAGGTGGGGCTGAAAAGTTGTCTTCTCAGAAAAAGAAATTAAACAAACAATAAATGAACTGGGTGGGAGTGGGGGGGAGAACTTGGAACAGATAGATTTACAAAGTGAATTCTAACCAACGTGCAAAGAACAATAATTTTATTACTACATAAAATTTTTTTTCAATAGTAAGAAATTTATTTCTATGCTAAAAATATGGTGTTTATACCTAAACTGGGAAGAGAAAAGGCATAGAAAGAAAACTACAGATAAATGTCTTTAACTAATATTAATGCAAAAAATGTAATCAAATATTAGCAAGTAAGCTACAATAGCATATTAACAATAGTATACACTATGACCACGTTGGGTTTCTACCTGGACTGCAGAATTGTTTCAACATTAAGAAGACTAGAAATATAATAAACCATGTGAATAATATAAGTGATAAAAACTATACAACCATATCAATAGATGCTGAAAAAGACTTTTGACAAAATCCAATATCTGTTTTTATTAAAACTCTAGCAATCACAATAATAAATGGACCTTTCCTTGATATGATAAATATCTATCTAAAGCTAAGGAAAAATATTATATATTGGAGAAAAGTTAAAGGCTTTTCTAGTAAGATCCAATGTAAAGACAAGATGGCTATTATCATCACTAATATTTAACAGTGCTAGAAATGTAAATTATATCAACAAGACAAGAAAAAGAAACTGAGAGAATATGCATAGGCAACATATTATTATACAGAAAAACAAATGGGAAAGACCTTAGAATTCTGAGCAACAAAATGATAAAACATAAGTCCAAAAGAATAAAGATAAAAGATGTCATTTCCCTCCTTCCAGAGAAGTAATCATGCAAAAAAAGATAAACATTTTTGGACATAGCCATGTTGGGCTTTGTTTTGCTGGATTGGGCATGTTTGCATTAAGGGCTTTATTTTTCAAATTTAAAATTTTAATATATTAATTTAATTAAATGATTAATATTTAACATTAATTTTCAAAATTTGCTTAATCAAGTGCAGGGCAAGAGGGATAGTTAAAAAAAGGGAAAAAATAATTTAAAATTTTGAAAGATATTTCTTTTCTAATGATGGAGATGAAGAAATGCTTTATTACTCTGTTATGCCAGCTTTCTTTTCGATATTCTATGTTGTCAGTGAGAAAAGCAAGCAGTACCTGGCAGCTTATGGTGGACTACAGTGAGCCAATAAAGTCATCTCTCCTATTACTCTCATTACAGCTGCTCCTGATGTTCTGCTCTCATCAATATCATAGATCAGATATCCCAGACAGAAGGTGAGTGGAATGGGGTTAGTGACCTCTCCAATGCTTTCTTCTCTATTCTTATGGCTGAGACTAGCCAGGTTCACAAGTATAAGAATAAGAAGGCATGGATAGATACCAGTTTTTCTAAAAGATCTTGGGATTTTAATGAACTCCAAGCATAACATGAGTCAGTACTATAATGTAGCAGCCAAAAATAACTAATGTGCCCTTCAGCTGATTTAGAGAGGTTTGTTATTTCTTCTAGGAAGAGGGAGGTGATGCTTTCCCTCTATTCTGCTCTTGTCAGACCTTAATAAGAATATTGAGTTTAGTTCTGGGTACCACGATTTAGGTCAGGACATTGATGAGATGAAGAATGTCCAGAGGAAGACAGCCAAAATGGTCAAGCAAGGGGCCCGAGTCCATGACGTACGAAGAGCAGTTGAAGGAATGAGGCTTGTTTAGTTTGGATAAAAGAAACCTCAGGGAGGACGTGAGAGCTGTTTTCGAGTATCTGAAGGGCTATCTTGTGGAGGTGCAGAGGGAAGGACTTGGACCCATGCATGGAAATGGCAAAAAGGTAAATTGGTAAAAAGATAAAATACATTCCATAGAGAAGAGAGGAGTTCGCTCTCTTCAAAGGTCTTCAAGCAGAGACTAGATGACCACTTATTCGGTATGTTATAACGGGGGTGCTCTGTCCACTAAGCCACCGAGCTACCTCATCCTTTCATGTGTATAGGTTAAGCTTGATGGTCACAGAGGTCCCTTCCAAGTCTCTAATTCTGTAATTCTCTCCTTTCCATCTTTAGATCTATGATCCTATGAATATACGCCATTACATAAGGTTTTGAGATTTGAACAGTACTTTCCTCATAGCGATCCTCTGAAGTAACTACAATAAATATTATTAATCCCATTTTACAGATGTAGAAATAAAGAAGTTAAGTGATTTGCCCTAAGATATATAACTAGCAAGTGTTGGAGCCATGTACAAACCAGGTTTTTTCCTGATTTCAAGTCCACCATTTATCACATCCTACATTGTCTTGCTGCTTCTGCTCACTAGCTATGTGCCATGGGGCAAGTCATTTGCCTGACTCAGTCTCCTCATCTGCAAAATGAGGGAAAATAATATTTGCTTACCAACCTCACAGGACTGTTGGGTGGAGAAAGCTTTGTGAACCTCCCATTCTAACATGTGTGAGCTACCAGATGGAGGCTTAATGATACATTGTCACATCTTAAAGTTTTTTTAATTAATTAATAGACTATAAAATTTAATTTTCTAATTAATTTTCTTAATTAAATATGAACACTCAAAACAAAAGTCAACATTTTATGTTAGAATCATTTCAACTGATTCCATGTGGTTTATGAAGCTCATTTTTCCTTTAGGAAGTTTTGTTTCCTATTAATGGTTTTATAAATATCCTTTTTTGTCTAATATTAACTCATGATTTCTAACTAAAACTGGAAGTGCATTTACAGATGTCCTATTGTTCTCATGTTTATGGGAACATGGGGAAATTTCTCTCTTTTTATTTGCTTGTTCCTTTGAAGCACTAAGCCCTAAATCAGTAGTTTCTTCTTAAAACACAAGTTTCAAATAGCTTATTTTGACATCTGTGATGCTGCGTTTTTTAATATCAGCTAAAATGCAGTTGTTTCACAGACTAAAATGTACCATTTTTCATTTTAAACTTTACAAACTCATTGCCTAGATGCCACTTAAAGACGCATGTAATCCTCTCAAGCCACAACTTTTTAAATCTGGCAGAATGTATCATGGAAGGTGGATATGTCCTATGAAAAAAAAAGTCATTGAGATAATGAGACTTTTTTAAAAAGCCAGTTGTGAAGGATCCTAAGTGGGTGAGAGGTGCAGGGAGAGAGAATGAATATAAAAAGATTTTACAAAGAATATGAGAACAAATGCTTTTTATCTCCTCTTGGGAAAATACATTTTAGTTAGCATTAATAACTGTAACTTGTCATGGCATTACTCCAGCTATAAATGTCAGCAGTTCAATAAATAACTTTATGCTAGAAGTTTATAGGCCAATGATGTGGGCTAAAACTTGAAAAAGGAATAACCTTGAGATGAGATTTTTCAAAACAAAAGTCAGTCCATTGAACTCAAAAGGTGAAAGGAGAGATGGGTGAGGAACAACGGATATAGAATATTGCATATACGCCAGACACCACTAAAATGTTTGCTAGTTTTACAGAATTGCTTTCTAAAAAAGTTTTCTCTTTATTGTCTGGTCAAGAGATATAATCTCAAATGGTGATATAAAATTTTTTTAAAAGGCAGACAAAATGTTTTTTCTGTATCATTTTTATGACAATGGTGCTGCATTTTTGTTTTAATCAGATCTAATAATTTAAGACATCTTTTTTATGAGCTTGCATAATTCAATGCTCTTTTTTCCCCCAGATCATACAATAAAACTGGTGGTGAGATGCAGACAAGAGAAAAGTGAAATGTATAGCTGGGATCTGTTAGGAGAACATTCCATATGGCTAACTAATGACGTGTTGAATATACCAAGGGCAAACATCTAGAAAAGGAGTTCCCAGGGATTATCATACAAAAAGTGTTACTAGGATAATCTCTCATTCATCATGCGATGTCTCTACTCAAAAATCTCCCTATTGTCTCCCGGGTAAAAGATCAAAATCTATTTCTAGCATTTGAAGATCTCCACAATTCTTTTTCATCATACCTTTCCAGCCTTCTTGGAAGACAGACCACAACTTTGAACCCAAGAGCTTTGGGAATAGGAATGTCCTCAATGCCACTGGACCTGCCTTTGATTTATCCCTGCTAAGTTTTTTACCTCATCAGTGAGGTGAAAACCTTGTGGAGAAGGAGATCACCTTCCTTATCATCACCAACAACAACTACCTACCAATTGCCGCTAAAAGGTAGAGGAGCATAAAAGCTGTAAGTGTGGCATCTCCACCCCCCCCAGACCACCAAAGTGACTTCTAGCCCTCCCAGTCATCATCTGTGGAGAGGGGCCCAGTCATGCCCACCAATTGTCAACCAACTGCCATCCATATAGCAGGCAAGTCAGCCTAGCTGAAGTAGTGGGGCACTCTTGAGAGAGAGACAGCTTGGAGCATGAGCCAGCCAAATCAAACCCCTCCCCCACTACCTTGACCACAATCTCCTGTCAAATGAGAGATGGCCCAGTACTTTAATCCCAGGAGCCTTTGGGAAAGTAATGTTGCTGGACTAATGCCTGCAGCCATCCTGGGAAGCAACCCCTGTGGAGATGTTGTCTGGAAACTGCTCCTTCCTGCAGGTACTACAGTCACATTTATGAAAAGAAAATTCTTGCCACCCAAGTCATTGCCACTGCCTAATGGTTCAACATCAGAAACTGATGGGATTTTATCAGTGCAAATGACATTTACAAAGAGGCCTTGCCATTTGATTTGTGACTTCACCTGAAGAGGCGTAGGACCTTTTTCATGCGACTTGCAGCTACAATCTTCCCAATGCCTCATTTTCCCCATCAGAATGGGAGCATGGTTTGTCTTTTCTGTTTGCATCCTCAAGGCTTAGCACAGTTCTCTGCATGTAGTAAATGCTCAAGAAATGCTTCATTCGTTCATTCTCTGTGCCTCTTGGCTTCTTTGACTTCCTTGAAGTCTCAGCTAAAAATCTCACCTTCTGCAGGTAGCCCTTCCTAGTCCTTAACACTGGCACCTTCCCTCTGAGATTATGTTCAATTTATCCTGTATATATCTTGTTTGTACATAGTCGTGTGCATTTTGTCTCTAGCTCATTAGACCGTTAGCTCCTTGAGAGCAGGAGCTATTTTATTTTGCCTTTATTTCTTTCTTTTTAAATTAATTTTTAGTTTTCAACATTCACTTTTATAAGATTTTACATTCTGGATTTCCCCCTTTCCTCTCCTCCTCCCTCCCCCAGATGGCACGCAATCTGATATAGGCTGTACATGTACAATCATATTAAATATATTTCCACATTAGTCATGTTACGAAAGAAGAATCAGAACAAAGGGGGAAAAGCAAGATTAGAAGAGAAGCAGAAAGCTGGGAAACAATGTTTGCCTTTCTTTCTAACCCCAGTACTTCGCACAGTGTTTGGCACATAGTACGCACCTAATAAATACTTCTTGACTCACTCAGTTTTGGAGATGACATTTCAGAAAGGACATTGATACTATGAAGGCCATCCAGAGGTGGGAGGATAGTTAGGAGATCCAAGATTATGCCAATATGAAGATTAACAGATGCAGTTGTCTGTCTTCAGCCTAGAGAAGAGGAGACTTGGGAAAAACACCAAAACTGCATTCAAGTACTTAGAGGAACGTCATCTGGACGTAGAATTAGATTTGTTCCACTTGGTCCAAGAGGGCAAATCTAGAAACAATGAGTAGAAACTACAGAGGAGAATTGGGTTTGATACAAGTAGAAAAACTTTCAAAGACTTAGAGCTATATAAAAGTGCAATGGGCTGCCTGGGTAGGGAGTGGGCCTTCCTTCTCCAGAAGTCTTCAAAGTAAAGCTTGAGAACCAATAGTTGGGGATGTTCAGATATGAGTTGGATTATAATATCCCTTCAATTCAATTTAACAATAATTTATTCGATACCTACTATGAAGGCACTGTAAATAAAAAGACAAAAATGAAAAGCAGTCCCTACCCTCAGGGAGCTTGCTTTCTACTTATATTCTTCCAACTGTGAGGTTATTAAATTCTAACTATTATGAAATTTGGCCTCTGGTACTAGCTGTGTGACCCTGGGCAAGTCACTTAACCCCGTCTGCCTCAGTTTCCTCATCTGTCAAGTGAGCTAAAGAAAGAAATGGTAAACCAGTTCAGTATCTTTGTCAAGATACTTTGTCAAGACCCCAAATAGGGTCACATAGAGTTGACAGGAATGAAACAACTGAACAACAACCAAACCATTAGAATCTTACCAAAAAGTAGAGGATGAAACTATTGAAGGATTTCTTCAAATCTGGATTAGCCCATGACCCTGGCCTACTTTCTCCACTTCTACCACAGTGGCTTTCTCAAGCCAACAATATCTTCACTCCTATAATCTCTTCCTCTGATTGGTGAGTTCTTCCCCAAAATTTTTAATTTAGGAAGGACCAAATCTGTGCTAGTAATTATCCCATCCACTTAAAAGTAATTACCTTTGTTAGATAAGAACACCTGTTGATTGAATCAATCAACCAGGAAGCCTAGGGTGAATGAGATCTGAAATTTATATAAAAGAAAGGAGCTTCTGTTTTTTTTTTTTTTGAACCACAGAAAGATTATGAGTGTTGAAAATGGAGAGGTTGGTGCAAGTGTGGGGTCAGGAAACTCTGAGTAAGGTAAACTAAACTGTAGCACTGAAGTGAGATTTCCCTTCTCCTACCTTCTTACTCTACCCAAACAGCCAATAAATATTTTTTTAAAAAAGAGGAAAAGAAATCATCAAAATTGATCAACACATTAAAAAAAAACACACTTGATTATTATATACAATGTTCCAACACCCTTGGAAAGGAGTAGGGATAGGTGTCTTCTCTTGTCTTTTCTTTGAGACCAAGCTTTTTTTTCTTCATAATTTCACATTTAGTTTCCACTGGCTTGTGATTCTTTCTCGTTGACATTGTTGTAGTCACTATCTTGTTTTCCTATCTCTACTTACTTCACATTGCATCAGTTCATGTAAGTCTTTCCTCATTCTCTATATTTGGTCATTAATTAAGATTTTTCAAGCATCTAGTTTATGCCAGGCACTATGCTAAGTGCTAGAGATACAAAAAGAGGCAAAAATATTACAGTCTTGTATTACAATTTGTTTAGCCATTCCCCAATCAAAGGACATCTATTTTGTTGTCATTTCTTTACTACCACAAAAAAAAAACTGCTGCTATAAAGATTTAGGTATATATGGGACTTTGTTTTTGTTGACGACCTCCTTGGGATATATGACCAATAGTGGCATCTCTAGGTCAACAGGTATGGACATTTTAGCTACTTTATTTACACAATTTCAAATAGCTCTACCAACTATACATTGTGTGTCTACCTTTCCCCAACCTCCTCAACTTTAACTATTAAATTCTTCTATCAAATCTCTGACAATTTGCTGGGTGTGAGATGAAACCTCAATAGTGTTTTGATTTTCATTTTTCTTAATTTTTAGTGATTTGGAGCATTCTTTCACGTGATTAATAGTTTGTAATTGGTCTTTTGAGAAGTTTTTTCATAACCTTTGGCTAACCATTACTCTTCTATAATTTTTTTTTAGGCAATTGGGGTTAAGTGACTTGCCTAGGGTCACACAGCTAGTAAGTGTCAAGTGTTTGGTCTGAGGCCGGATTTGAACTCAGGTCCACCTGACTTCAGGGCCAGTGCTCTATCCACTGTGCCACCTAGCTGCCCCCTATAATATTCTTATGTATTAGTCTGTCCATTTGTTCTTTGGCATTTACTAAGATACTGACTGTTCATTATCATAGCATTTAAGATATGAGATTCTGAAAGTGACTCAACTGCAAATTTAAATGGAATTTGAACAAGATAGAGTATGTCCATTTCAACAGGAATTGTAAAAGATCCAGAGTAAAGCAGGTAAGGTCATATAGGACAGTCAAATTTTATAGCCTCTAAAATGTGCACGAAATTTTCACTGACATTGCTTGGAGTTGGTCACAATTATCTAAGAATAGAATTTGTTCCTGTCTATAATTAACTTTTGCAGGAGGTTCTTTTGTTAAGAATGTGTGATTTGTAGTCCTGCTTAAGACCACCTTTGCATTTGATGTATGATGATAAGAGTAAGAAAGATGATGCAATTACAAGAAAGGGCAGTGGGTTGTAGAGTTCAGAAGAAAGATGAGATTAGTATTAATTGAATTGAGCAGTATATTTTCGGGTCAGGAAGAGATGGTGCACATAGGAGATGCCTTGTTTTTGGAGGGAGCTGTGTTTTGTTTCCAAAAGAAAACATTTTTAAAGCACTTATTAGCTACCTACATCCCCTGGGAGCTTAAATTCATGCCTTCAATCCGTCCCGTATTTCCCCAACCCCCTTCTCTTCCTAAGTCTGTTAAAGTCAGCAAGGCTTTCTTATCTGGATGTTGCTTTTGCAAAAGACTACAATTTTCATGAAGGTTTTATGACAGATATTTGCAATTTGTGGCATACACAGTCCAGAAGACCAGGCAGGCAACTTGCCTCGTCTTTGCTCTCTATCTTGGGAGGTGTGATCCCAGGAAAATCATAACCCTGTTTGCCTCAGTTCTTCAATTTGTAAAATGAACTAGGGAAGGAAATGGCAAACCACTTTAGTATCTTTGCCAAGAAAACTCCAAATGGGGTGACGAAGAGTTGGACATGATCGAAAAATGACACAACAGCAAAATCAGGGAGGTGCCATTCTTAGCCTTTTTTCTCCCCACCATCGTCTTCAAAACCTCTTCAATCACCTTGCCTTCCAGTGCTTCCTTCCCTTCCCCCTCGAGTTCTGAACCACAATCAAATAATCTTGCTTTTCTTCCTATGTTGCAGCTTTCTATTAAGATGATGTAAACTCCTGGAGGTCAGGGGCTGCTTTTCTGTGTCTGTATCCTCCAAGCTTAGCGCAGAGTTAGCACTTAGTAAATGCTCATCCATTCATTCAAAACAGGGTAAGTTCTTTCTCTGACACATACTAGCTCTGTGGTCAAGGACAAATCATTTAAACTTGCTGCGTTCCTGGCAACTCTTTAAGACGCTCAGTTGCCTCCACTTTTCAAAATACCTCATTGGAATTTCCTTGCACTAATGAAATCACAAGTGAGGATCCAAATTTTAAAAAATCTTCACTATAACTCGAAAACCTGGGTTATCTGGGTTACATGTCACACATGTATACATACATACATGTATATATGGTTAACTTCCCATCTGAAATTTTTAAAAACTTAAATCCGTGTCCCCAAAACAGCACACCGAAATTTTTTAAATTCAAAGTGTTCAAACCGACTTGTAGTTGAAGAGGAGAGAAAATAATTCTGAATGGCTTCGTATGGTTTTCATCAATCAGAAACCTCCCTGATTCTTTTGTCCAAAATGCCAAAACCCAGTCTTCCATGAGTAATGGTTTGAAGAAGTAGTTACTGAGAAGGCAATGTGGTATAGTAGACAGCATACAGGGTTTAGAGTCAAGAAGATTTGGGTTATTTTTCCAATATACAACAATAAAGATAATTTAAATTCGTAAGATAGCAGCATTTGCCTTAGAAAAATAAGCCAATCTCATCAGTGCCAGTAACCTCAACAAATAAAACAGCATAAAACCAATAGTATGTCCTATGAGCATGGGCATTAATCGCATGGAAGTCCTCCTAAGAAAAGGAACATGTTTACCTTAGTTATCTGAATATTGTATCCATCCAGGAGATAACTTTTGTATGAGAAAAATATTTAAGGTGGCACCTACAACTCTATGTAAACTTGGCTACAAATAAGCATGATTGGAAACTCAAAATTAAGTCAAAATAACAATAGACATATAGATCAAAATGCAGGACATCCAGTTCTTTCAAATGGAAATGAGAGGAAAAAGTTCTCAACCTAGCTTACAAAAGCCTTCGAGGCCACAGGTGATATTGCATCTCAAGCATTACCTAAAACTAGATCAGAGATAAAACACCCTGTGCCTCCACGGAGGCTTCGGGTTCAAAAGTCCATAGTCCATTTCATAAGCTTCCTTAGTCTCTGACCCCTATCACTCACAGTCACAGCTCTAGTAATTGCATTTCTTAGAGAAATCCCAGGTCAGGAGCCCTTTCTGGATCCTCTCCGTTTCCTAGCAAGGCTGTTCCTCGGGGTCTTATGTGCAGGGAGGAGGAGCTTCCTTCAATGAAAATATACCGCATCATCTTCTTCTGTCTCAGGACCCGCTAAAAAGGCCAATGGCTCGCTTTCCAGGCTATCAGCTTCTCGGCAAGCACACCTTTATAGACTCATAAAATATGAGAGCTGGAAGGAACCAGCAGGGATTCTTCAGCTGCAGTCTGAGAACTTATTGCACAAACACACACGCATGTATGTAGGCGCACACACATGTATATATCATGCATACACATACGTAGATTGTGTATATACACGCAGCGATTTCAATAAAAAATTAAATATTGTTGGTTTCCTTTGTGATCCGGTGGATCTTATTTTAGGTGTTTAAACATGCTATTGTCCAAGGAGTCTCTAACACACAAAGTTAAAAGTCCTGGAACTAGATCAACTCCTGCCATACCCCTGGTTCTTACAGATAGGAAAGCTGAGGCCCAAAGAGGAAAAGGGTCATACAGGTATTTATGTAGCAGAGCCTGTATTCCAGACATCCTAGAGTAACTCTCCCTTCTCGAAAACTACGTGTGTTAGGCTGTTTGCATAAATGGAATCTAATCCAGAGTTATTGGAAGAGGAGAACTTGGTATCTCCTTCCGCTCTCCTTCCCCGCCCCCACCCCTGCCTGGGCCGGGCTGGATACAGAAAGAGACTGAAATCGACCAGAGGCTGACGCTGAAAGAAGCTGAAATCTACAAGCGCAGCCCCGGAGCGCGGGGCTCGGAGCTCAGCGGGCATGCTCATTGGCCAGGACCCGCTCGAGGGGGCGGGTCTGTGCCGTTGGCCCCGGCATCATGAGCGGTTCCCACGGAGCCGGGCACGCCCACTCCCTCGTCTGGGAACAAATGAAAAAGGAAAACAGCTTGGAAAGTCCCCCGTGGCGCGGTGATGCAAGTGCGTGTAAGGAGACGTGAGGACGCACGCATGCGAAAGAGAAAGCGTGAGTTCCTTGTTTCTTTTCCTTCCTTTCCCCCAATCCAGACTCTTGTTTCTTCCTTCCCAGTTTTCCGGGGCCCCAGGTTTGGGGGCAGGCTGGATGCCCCCCGTGGCCAGGAAGTGCGGGTGTTGGGTGGGAGCTGGGGTTCGCCAGTTAGCACGGGTTTCCCCCCCCGGCGAGTTTGAGATGTGGGGAGACCCAATTCTGCTGTCATTCCCTGAAGAATTAGCACAGGAAAAAGTGGGGACCCTTTGTGTGGAATTTTAAACATTTCCAAATAATAAACGATGCCTCCAAAAGAAGAAAGAATTAACCGAAGGAAGCTTTCTAGACTGGTGGAGTCAGCTCGCCTTAGAAGTGACGTTGAAACCACTTTTTTTTACAACACACAGTTTTCAGTTTGCCAAAGTACTCTCGAATTCAGAAAAGTAACTTAAGTATTCACTTCTATGACGGAGGATTCACAGGCAGTGAGAGGTTGTGGAAAGAGGACTTAACTTGGAGTCAGTCTCCCTTGATATTGGCTCTGCAGTCAGGATCTGGGTTCTGATCCTGTCTCTGATGCTTAATTAACCTCCCTGGGTCTCTTTCCTCGTTTGTAAAATGGAGTTGAACTGGATGGCCTTTGAGGTCCCTTCCAGCTCTAGACATATGAGCTTATGATGGGGATTCAGAATTGGGCCACTGATCTATATTAGTTCAGTTACTTATCCACTGAGTCTCCTGTAAGTCTGTTTAAGACTTATCTACCAAATTAGATAGATGGGTTGGACCTGTAGGTGTAGGAACTCTTCCCTGATAAAATCACAAATCTCTTGTCAATACTTGTGTGAGCAAGCCTCATTATCTAGAGTGGTGAAGTTTTCTTTCCAGCCATCTAAAATTTCGTTTAATTATTAACTTAAAATATTCGAACCAGTTTGAAAGGAAAACTTAAAAAAAAAAAAAGAGGAGCATAGGCTTCCATGATTGTACCTCCTAAATCCAAATGGTATACAGAGCCTAATTCAGCTTTTTCTTGATGAACCAATGTCAGTATGTTGAAACTCCCACGAATATTTTGTGCTGTGATACTGTGAAACCCTCTGGGGCCCTTAACTTGCAAGGATAGGCCTCTTTGTCTCTATACTCATTGACCAACATTCTAGAGGTATTTAGGGCCTTTTTTTTTTTTAACATCTTTGACAGTTGTCACTTCTCACTGATGTTAATGTCTTCTGATTTGCCCCTTCTCTTCTGTGACTTGGGAGTAGAAACAGCCCCTGAGTGCAGCTTCTTTTAAGTTTACAAAATGCTTTACATGCATGTATTTGTTGCATATATCATACAGGAGGTCCCAAAAGTTGCAGAGAAGCTTTAAGCTTTAAAAGTTTAAAATTCAATAAGACTTTTTGGGATTCCACAGATATTAGCATTGCCATTTAATGATGAGGAAACTGAGGTTTGAAGAATATAAGTGACTTGGGTTAAATGCCTTGAAAATGCATCATGGTTCAGGGAGGCAGAAGACATGGATTTGAATCTTGGTTTTACTTTCTACTCCTTTTCTGCCTGTGTGACATTAACTGCTTTGGGTCTTATTTTCTTCATCTAAAATGAGAGGGATGGAGTATGTGACCTCCTGAGGTCACTGCCAATCCTATATCCCTAATCCTATGATCTAATAGCTAGTAGTTATTGGAAGAAGGATTAGAGTCCAAATCTCTCGATTCCACGTCTAGGACCCTTTCCACTCCATTAGCTCACAACTGGAAAGCAATCTTGTTGACATCTGTGCTCAAAGCTTGAGTGACTTCTTAAAGAAATTTGTTGCATTGCTTTTAGCTGCTTAGAGGCCTTTTTTGTTTCTGGGTTCTCGCCTGTCACAAATATTGCTGGATAAATGACCTCCTGATGAAATTGAGCATGATCATACTTTTCAGCATTATTACTGACCAATTTTTAAAAATTGGTGCGTTTTGTATATGTGTCACCTTTGCTTCCAAATTGAGGCTTCACCTCTCCCCACCTTCTCCACCTATCCAGATGTTTCTTGTAACATAGCTTGAAAAAAAGTGCAGAAAAATCAATCAACACATCAATTGTGTCTGATATTATATGCAGTGTTCACTGTCCATATTCCCTCATCTTCGACGAAGAGAGCGAAATGCATTTTTCTTTTCTTTATTTAAAATAAATTTTTATTGGTAATTTTTTTCTTGTGATGGATGAAGGGTGAAATGACTGAGGAAACAAAGGTTCAAGTTTCTGAGCTTATCGATTTATTAAGCAATGAATGCCAATTGCCCAACAAATTGGGACCAGTTGGTTTTCTCAGCTTTGGCACTGGACCTTGAATACAGGAGGAGACAGACTTTTATATATTAAAAACAATCAAATAAAACTAATTAGAAGACAATCAGAATATGATGTTAGGTAATCTAATTTCTAATTGGAGGAAAAGATTAAGGGCTTTCTAAGTTGGAAGGGGGAGAGCAAACAGTTACAATTCCCTGAAATCAGAAAAAGAGGTATCCCACTAAATGGGCAAGGGAACACGAACAATAATTGCTTGATCAGTATGGGGCCAATTTTCAGATAAGACATATAGGTTGCTTGAGATAAACGATTGTGAGAAAAATTCCTTGCATCAATCAAACTTGGGTATGACTGGGTTTCTGGTTAGCATAACTTAGGTCTTGAGTTAAGGGTCTCTAAGCAGCAGGTAGAGGTAGTCCAACTTCTCAGTCACGAAGGGCCAGGTTCAAACAATACACTTAGGTTTTCTCCTAATTCCCACAATTGAATTTTTTTTTTCACAAGACAGAAGATGGGCTAGACCTGTAATTGAATAGAAAGGGAATTGAGCTAGCCCCAGAATTGAGTCACAAAATTGAGTCAGTGTGGTTCACTCAATTTCCACAATTAACACTTCTGGCCTAACCCCTTCAATTCCCTCCTTATATCATCTACATTTCCTGTAAAATGAAGACTAGAAAGGAAAAAAAAACCTAACAGTTCAGCCCAACTAATACATAAAAAAATCTAATGTATGCAGTTTCACGCACATAGTACCCCTTAGCAAAGAAGGTAATGAAGTGACTTCTTATGCTTCTCCTCCAAACTTGGTCTTTACAATCTTACAGTATTCAGTTTACATCAATGGTGTCAAACTCAAATGGACTATACATAAGGATCCCTGCAGGCAGCATATTGACTCAGAAAACCACGTGTTAACATTATCTAAGTTCTCTTGTATTTTTATTTATTAAGTATTTCCCAGTTACGTTTTAAATCTGATTAGGGTTACATATGTTTAATACCTCTGGTTTAGATTGTCTAATTCTTTCCATTTGCAGTATTGTAAATTTATATTGTTTTCCTGCTCCTGATTACTTTACTCTGTACCACTTATAGTCTTCATGTGTTTTTCTGACTCCTTCATAGTCATCATTTCTTGCCAGTCATATTCCATTATGATTATATACGATTTGAACTACCATTGTTAGGGATAGCCAATGATGCCGGTGACCTAATGAAAGAGGATTTTTTTTTCTCCCAAAAGGTATCAGTGCCTTTCTGCTTTTGTATCTGCTTTTATAGCTTTTGTAACCTCTATAGGTGTGTAACTGATCACAAGTAGGAATGATTGGAGACTTGGCATCATCTCACACATAGTACCATATTAAATACTACAACATTGCTAATGGAAATCATGAATGAGAGGGTTTGCTTTGAGTATCACTTAGAGCTTTGTGGCCTTAAATTTCAGTTACAATAGTTATCTCCTGGTTATTGCATTCTAAAATGAACACCTTCCCATCATATAGTTTATTTTTCAAAAATATATAATATGGCACTGAAAAGAATGTTTGTTACCTCCTCTACTATAATCCTTTCATTTCCTTCTCCCATAGCCCTTGTTTAAAATAAGGAGCTTGCCATGATTTTAGAAACAGATGCAAGGTCAGAGTTTTACTCCCTGTGGGTGAGACATTCTTTCATAAAGAAAGTCCACCTTGAAAGGTAAAAATCTGTGTCTGAGAGTTAAATGCCATCTCCATTCCAGTCACCAGGGTAACAGAGTTGACCCTCACGTATTGTTTTGGGAAGTGGATGGGAATCCAAGGTCAGGGAACTTGGTGTTTTGAATACCAAATGGAGAAGTGACAGGTTGAGAATTGGTATCTTAACTCACAGATGATCAAGGGAGCCTCGCTAAAATTTTGTCTGAAGTTGGTGTGAGCGATTTGATCGGTGTCAGAAGCTGCTATTGCTCTAAGTTCTTATTTTTCGGTATGGATGCTAAATAACAGCTTGCAGCCTGTTTCATGTTTCACCAGCAAAAGGAGAATTCTATGCAAATTTATGAGCTCTAATCTAAATTGTTTCCCGTTTTTGTGAGTTGTGACAGCTGTATCATTCTTAAAAGCTATTTAGTATTGCAACTGGCTTCTACTTAGCATTACAAATGACTCAGGAATAATAATAATTAAAAAAAACACGGAATAGAGGGAAATACAGTACTTGTATATACTGGTTCCAAGTTTTTTTGTTGTGTGAAAACAGCTGGTTTGTATTCATGTTTTATGGTGTTTTAAAATAGTTGACTTTTAATTAATAAGCATTTAGCACTTTGTGCTATCATAGAGGAAAATACTTTGAAATGCCTGTTATTATTAATATTATTTTGAGGCAGAATGGTGTCCTGGATAGAGGGCTGACCTTGGGGTCAGGAAGACATTTGTTCAGGTTTGCCTCTGTACGTTAACTGAGTGGCCATGGGCTGATAAATCACTTAGCCTCTCAGTGACACTTTAAAGTGTAGGTGAGTTGTTCACCTGCCTATGTAGAGGGAGTTTCCACACCAGAGCTCCCTAGACCCATGAAATCAAGGTCCAAACTCCTCCCATTCCCAGATTGCTATTATTGTTGCTGTTGTTATAGTCGACTTACTTTTCCATACTGGGGAGAGTCACTAGGGGATCTCTCAAGTAGCCCTTCATTCTGCCAGTTTCATTGTACTCTATTGTAGTAGAGCTATTTAAAGTCCTATGGATGATTTCGATAGTATCCAGAACCTAGTACAGATTTAATTGATCATATGTTTGAGAAACTACCATGTTATTGGTAATGAGCAATTGGATGAAGACAAGAGTCTTAATCTATACAGTGGGGACATTTTTCAACTTGTATGACTCCTGGAGGTCAGTAACAAAGTTTTGGTGTTTTGTATAATATATAATGTTACATATACATACTATATTTGATATATTTCAACTTTTCAAGAAACTTACACTTAGCTCCTACAATATGTATTTGAAGGAGATGTAAGGGTAAAGTTAGGTGCCACCTATGATCATGAGGCAGCTAATTGGTAGGGCAGATAGTGTCTGACTTGCAGTCAGGAAGACCTGAATTTGAATCCTGACCTAGACATTTTACCACACAAGTCACTTAGCCTCAGTTTTTTTATCTGTCCAATGAGGATTAATACTGGCACCTACCTCACAGGGTTGTAATGAGGATCACATGAGAGAATTGTGAAGTGCTTTGCAAGACCTTTATGAGCTGTTTTAAATGTGCATGAAGTCTGTAAGGTCATAAGATGGATTTCCATCAGCCATGTAAGAGAAGTCTTCTGGCTTTATTTTGGGTGCTACCATGGAAGGCCACAGATGATGACTTGCTTGTGTTCTTTTAGCAGTGATTATAGCACAGTGTCTAAGGGTTCTCCTTTATTGTGTCATGGAGCACTTCAACAGTCTGGGCTAGCCTGTGGAAGTCTTCTCAGAAGACTTTTAAAATGCAAAAATTACAAAAGAAATGAATTATATTGAATTATATTTATCAAAATATATTTAAGGAAAAAAATTCACAGGTCCCAGATTAAGGACCTCTGATCTAGAGAGTTATAAGTACATAGAAATATCAGCAATTATGAATGACTCACAGTAAGTTTTATGACATCACCTTCTGAAGATCTGTGCTGGTTGTACTCAAATCATGGGACTTTCTCTCTCTCTCTCTCTCTCTCTCTCTCTCTCTCTCTCTCTCTCTCTCTCTCTCTCTCTCTCTCTCTCTCTCTCTCTCTCTCTCTCTCTCTCTCCCCCTCTCTCTCTCTCCCCCTCCCTCCCTCCGTCTCTCCCCCTCTCTCTCCCCCTCTCTCCCTCTCTCTCCTTCCTCCCCCCCTCCCACACCCTACTGTCTCAGGCAGCCATGTGAAACATCATCATCATCATGATTTGGCAAATAATCTAAACTTGAAATTTAGGAGACATCATTGTGTACTCTAGTGATTCAGTAGTTTTCCCACATTTGCCATGATGTATTGCTCCTATGAAAAAACACTGCCTGTCCCCATCTTGCTGTGTGTGAAAGCTTACCAGGAGATGACAGCTTTAGTTTTCTTACTTGGAGATGTGTTTTTATTTCTGATACAGTTTACCAAGGCCTTTTCTGAAATATTTGCTGGGGGAGGATCCCAGAATTTTACAGTTTTATCTTGTGGTTATTGATTAATCAAACCACTTTGGTAAAAATTATTATCTTTAATGAAGCTTGGTAGTCAACATCAGTTCTTTCCATCCTGAGAGAAAGTGCTGGGGTTTTGGACCATGTGTATGCTTGTTTTCCTTCACTGTTAGAGGTAAGTGTGTTGTTCAGTCATTGTCCCATCTGACTCTTCATGACCCCACGGACGGCCCACAGCACACCAGCACTGTCCGTAGCGTTTTCTTGGCAGATGTACTGGAGGGGTTTGCCATTTCCTTCTCCAGTGGATTAAGGCAAACAGAGCTTAAGTGACTTGCCCAGGATCATATAGCTAGTGATTGCATTTGATTTGGATTTTCCTGACTTCAGGCCCAACACTCTATCTACAGAGCTACCTGGCTGTGTCAGTGGTAAGTGTACCATGATACAATTCGTAGAGTTTGGTTTCTGTGTTCTTCTCTGGCTCTCCCTGGCCCTCTGTGCCCATCCCTGAGCTTCTCAATTCTGAGCTCATCATTAAAGAAATGTGATGGTACATGTCCCACCAGATCATCTGGTAGTGGTAAATCTGTTTTTTAGGAAGTGATGCCTTGCTTCTCCCTACTCTTGACTGGGCCTCCCAGATTGACTTATAAGCCCTGGCTCTGTGAACCTGGATGAGACACAGGGCATTGTTGGGGTTTTCTAGTGCTGAGCTTTCATCTGTATGTTGGGAATAATGATATCATTTATCTCACGGGGTGATGGTGAGGATCAAATGATACCACATATATAAAGTACTTTGCAAACCCGAAAGTGCCAGTATAAGTGCTGTCCATTATTGTTATGATAGAAAAATTCGTCCATCAGTGAAGAGTACCTGCTCTAGAAATTTGAGATACATTGGAGGCTCGGCCACTTTTTGTTCCTTGCTTTTGTGGAAAGCCTAGAGATGATGAGGCTGTGAAGAATCTAGGACACTGGATCATGTGATCTCTCGAGGATTGTTTATAAAACTGACCCAATGATCCTCGAAGCATTATCAATGACCTCTTCCAACAGAAGACTTTTTAGACACTTGGATATTTACATGAGCAACTTAGAGGGTTGGAGGATATGTGTGGTGGAAAGCAGTGGACCGGGTGTATGTATTGATGAGCTAGAGAAGGTCCAAAGTTGGTCTGTGAGTCCATAGGATCTGTTGAAAGATCTGTGAGCCTTAACCTGGGGACTGCCCACTGACAAGTGGGCTGCTCTTCTTTGCTTGAAGACCTCCAGTGAAAGGCAGAACTACTACCTCCCAAACTAGTCCATCCCATTTTGGGATAGACATCTTTGGGAAGTTTTTCTGGAAACTTAGCATAAATTTGCCTTTTTACAATTCTTCCCCTTTCTTCCCTATTTTTTCCCTTTGGAGCCAAATGGAGTAAATCTTAACCTCTCCTTTGTATGTCATTACTTAAAATATTTGAAGAGGGCTATTAACCCTTATCCCCAGACCTTCAGTCTTCTCTTCTTCAGGCTAAATATTCCTCATTCCTTTCCTACAACTTCCTATTGGCATGGACCAGACCCTTGACAATTTTTATTGCCCTTCTCTGGACAAAATCTATCAACAAGCATTTATTAGGCTTCTGATCACTGCATGAGGCACTGTGGATACAAAGGCCAAAAAAAGGAATCAGTCCCTTATCTCAAGGACCTGACATTCCTTTAGGGAAGACACCATATGTACATTGAATGTCAAAATAGGGTTAGGGACTTATTAAGTGTTAACTGGTATTAAGTAACTTGCCCAGGGATGTAGGAGGAGAACCAGGAGAGAATAGTGCCATGAAAACCTGGAGAAGACAGAATATGTATCCGTGAGGAGGTCAAAGGAATAGTCAGCTTATCAATATCTGTGGGACCCAGAATAGAACATGGTTCTCTAGGTATGACCTGACCAGGGTTCTTTGTTGTAATTTTGTGAGTTTAGGGTATACCTACTAAGGAAATGTCATCCATAAACACAAATTAGCAGCTCTTCTGTAATATGTAGTCTTACAGACTTTTCTTAGGGTCACAGAGGGTTGCGTCTGAGGGGGGGTGTGTGTGTGTGTGTATGTATGTGTATGTGTATGTATATATATATATATGTATGTATGTATGTATGTATGTATGTATGTATGTATATATGTATGTATGTTATGCTTGGACCTAACTCTTCTTATCTTTCTGTCTCTTCCAACATTCTCTCCATTATGACAGGTTCCCTGTCCACATAATCTTCCTGCCGTGGACTTCCTTGGAAGCCTCTCAGTGTACCCTAAAATTAATTTAGGGTTTTTTTTTAAGTTTTGTTTTGTAGGAGGAGAGAGGAGAATCTACCTGATAATAACAACAATAACAATAATAGCATTTCTATAGCACTTAAAGCAAATATTAAGATCGAATGGATCCTCAGAACAACTCTGGGTAGTAGATGCTATTGCTATCCCGGTTTCACAGATGAGGAAACTGAGGCAGCAGAGGTTAAAGGACTTGTCTAAGGTCACAAACCAAGTAAATGTCTAAAGTAGAATTTGAGCTCGGTCTTCTTGACTTCAGGTCCAGCCCTCTGTCCACTGTACCATCTACTAGACTTCTACTGTTGTCTCATCTTCAACTTCGGTTCCATTCAGCGCAAATTTATTTAGCCCCTGCTATGTGTCAGGCACTGTGAAACGTGCTTTGCAATTATTATTACAATTCATTTATTTCAATTATTATATCATTCAATTCCAATTATTACAACTAACCCTGGGAGATAGGTGCTCTTATTATCCCCATATTACAGATGAGGAAACTGAGGCAGACTTGCTTAGGGTCAGAAAGCTAATAAAGTATCTGAGGCTTGAGAGAGCAATGTAGCCTTCTAAACACCCCAGATCTTCAGACAGACAGCTATGTCTAACCAGTTTTCTCCCAACTTGTATCTGTGAAGTGGGGTTTTTTCAGACACAAGTGTAAGACTTCGTAGTTTAGCCTGTTTTTGTTTGGTCATGTCTGACTCTTTGTGACCCCATTGGGGTTTTGTTGGCAAAGCTACTGGAGTGGTTTGTCACTTTGTTCTCCAGCTCATTTGGCAGATGAGCTCAGGAAACTGAGGCAAAAAGAGTGAAGTAATTAATTAGCCCAGGGTCACACGGCTATAAGTATCTGAGACCAGATTTGAACTTGGGAAGATGAGGCTTCCTGACTCTATCCAGTACGCCACCTAGCCGCTCCTTAGGGCTGTTGCATTTCATCTTTTTAGGTTCTAGCCCAGCAAGAGCTTTTGGGATCTTGGCTATGTGTACAATCTCTCCCAGCTTTATGTCATTTTCAGATTGCATAAGCATGCCCACTTTTGCCTTTAAATCATTGACACAAGTGATAAACTGTGTCATGGCCAATTACAAGTTTGGTCAATTACAAGTTGAAATAGAGCCATTCAGGACTGACTACTCTTTTAGTCTGGCTGCTCAGGCAATTTTGTCTCATTCTGTTTTCATCTAGCCTACATCTCTGACATGTTGTATCCAATGCTTTGCTTACAACTAGGTAAACTCCATCTATGCATGGTGCTCCTCACATAAGGACACAGTTCCTTCCGCCACCCTTTGCCTGTTATGTTTCTTTTGAATAAATCAGTCATTCAGAGCTGAATTCTAGTCAAGGGTCTCCTCTCCCATAAGGTCACATTGACCTCCTGGCATCTTGTTGTTTAGGTTTTGTGCATTATATATAGTCCTTGGAGGCCATGTCTTTCTCCTTGGATCTCTGTCTCTTGCCAATTTTCGGCATCTCCGCACTCGTTCTTCCTATACTGTGGCTACTCTTGCCGGATCTGGCTCGGTGGATAGACAGAGGCAGTTTTTCTCCTTCCCTTCTCTCCCTGTCCTTTTCACTTGACGAACTCTCCATTTGTTATCCAAGGCGTATTTCTTTCTCCCCCATTCCCTACCCGATTTGGGCTGGTCATCATGGGGACATTCAACACAACCACCAGGAGGAATTTCACTTGCTTTAATAATGCCTTAAGAACTATTGTCCAGGGGATAATGTGAATGGTGGAGCCGCACATTTTCATTGACTTTGGGGAAAGGATGCAAGGAAGTTGGGTACAGGATACATCTGTAAATCAGCATGAAGCCCATGATCTAGGGATGTTGCCCTTACAGTTCCCTGCGTGGCTTCAGCGTTAAGGGCCGAGAGCCTCGAGAGCTGTCACTCTGAAAGCTTTAACGAGCACTCATTGCGCTAAAAGCCATGTCCTATGAGCAGCAGAGCCAGCTTGCAGTTGATACAGGAAATCATCAGTGGTGATGGACAAAAATTGGACTTGGCACTAATTCACCTGGCTGTGGAACAGAATTTGAGATTATCTACAAACTCCAGCCGTTACATTTTTCAGTCATTATTTTTCACGTATAAAGGTGATTGTAATAATTTCTGTTAAGCATATATCACTTTAAAAAAAATAGAGGAGAGCATGTGAATTTTGGAAAACTGACACCACTGTTTTTCAAAATGGAGCCTCATTAAATTCCCAAA